TTTACAAGCAATAAATATTGGATATAAGGAGTTGATTAGAGTTGATGGAATTAATCCAGATACAAGAATTACAGGTACAGTGAACCCTCCATAAGTGCACGCTATGTCTCATTCCCAACCTCGGGAGTTAGGGATAAATGCACACCCTCCATACTCTGCACTGCACGGTCTTCCCCCATCCCCCTTCATATAAAACCACCCTCTCTAAATGCACGTCCGTGACTTTCACGTGATTTATTTGCTAAATAAATTCGTGTTACATTAATTAATTCAAACGTTATTTACCTCTTTTTTAATATTAGTAAGGTTTAAGTAAGCTACTGTTGCTTATAAAGGATTAAATAATGGTTGTTAATTCTTTCTTTTTAATTGACAAAGAGTTATTAGAATAATAATGATAAAAACACAAATGGAGAAAATTATATATACGCGAAATTAAAAAATTAAGGATTAAACAAAAGATAAAAGATCACGAAATTTTTTTAAAAATTTATGTTTAAAAGTAAAAAAAAATAAAATATGAAAATTCTAAAGAACAAATAGGACAAGTTAATGCCCTTGAGCGATACATTAATTTAAAAAAAATTTCAATGAAGCAAATCACAATAAAACAATTTTTTAGTCAACAATAATATTTAATATGTAATAATGTACTTAAATATATTTAAAATCGTACAATAATTTTTATTAGTATCACGTGCAACCAATAAAATTCTTCCCCTCTATAAATGCATCTCTCCATAAATTCACGCTCTCATCCATTCCCAAGGGGGTGCACTTATGGAGGGTTCACTGTAGAATATCGTTGATGTTAGACTAATGGAATTTGTTTTGTCAAGATACATTATATTCAAGATTTAAACATGAGTTTATTTAATAGATTTGATGATAATAACAATGGAATATCAAAGGCTAACTAATATCAGCTAATGAATCTATGGGAGAAATTTATGACACAGTATGTGAATTCTTTCTTAGGTATAATAGTATCAGTTGGTATTTCTATGACTATATTGTAAAAGAATTATATTTAATTTATTTATTTATCTAGGATTTATCTCAATTCATCTAGGATGTAATTATTTTAAAGGTATTATTTATCTCAATTCATAAATCGAATTATTATTAATTTTTTATCTCAAAAATTTCAACCCATATTAACCCAAAATCTTACATATTTGATAATAATTCATTTAAGATATCAATGGGGAATCCTCAGAATCTAAATATGAAAATGACTTCAGGATTGCAAATATATTAATATTTATGTCAATTGGTGTGTTTTTCGTTCTATTATTAATATCTGTTACTAAATGGGTTGGTTTTTTCTAAAAATTTTAATTGCTTGATTAGAACATGATTTATAATTTAATTATCAAATTATTAAAAATTATCAAATTATCAATTCTTGTATTATAAGTTTTTTAATCAAGAAAATTGTGGCTTACTTAATAGTCACTAAAGCCATTTGTTTATGGCGGGTATGAGCTTCTAAATATTGTAATGATTAACATTCTAAAATAGTGTTTACAATACAATGTTTATCATTTTGAATATTAATCTAATACATACATGCAATTGTTAATAAAATAGTCTTTTAAATTGCAACGCCTTTGAATATATATTATATATATTAATATGTATATATAATCAATTTTATTATTGAAAAAAAAAAATAAAAAATATATACAGATAGAAAAGTATTAAATTTATTAAATTTTTTTAATTTGAAATATTTTTTAATAAAAAATATAAATTGTATATATAAGATATACAAAAAAAAATTATTAAAATTTTGTAATTATATCTAAATCATTGTATCTACATCACCAAAAAAAAAAAATATACATATCAAAATTAATCACTATTGTCATCAGAACTGATTCCATAACTATATTTTTTATTACAATGTTGTGTTGGAGGTGGTGTAATGTATGATTGAAATGATTGTGTAGTAGTTGGTGAAACAGTTTGAGCAAGTGCTTGTGTAGTAGTTGGTGAAACAGCAGCAGCAATAGATGTTTGAGCAGTAGTAGTAGATGTTTGAGCAGTAGGTGGTGATTTCAATAATGATAGTGATGACATCATCATTTGTACATGTTTACTTACTTTAATTTATTAATAAACATTAATATTAAATAATATCACACTCAATGTATAATTTATAATTTATTTATATTTACCCATAAATTCTAGCCTTCTTATTTTGTATTTAATGATGGATACATTTTGCGCTGTGAACATTTTATCATTTGAGCTGACCTTCCACCAGCTGCCACAAACATAAATATTAACTCCTTCAATAATATAATTATTATTATGGTATTTTCCATTATCAATTTTTTTTTTAAGAAAATAGTCATATGTATAATAGTCTTTATAATACTTGATGATTTGTTGGAATTTTTTTGATTCTTCAATGTATACTTTTATGACCTGCTCCATTGTTTATTAGTAGTGGGTGTTATGACTATTATTATAATTATTATAAAAGTTATTATCATCCATGAGTGCTAAAGGTTCCTAAATTTCCAAGGCCTCCATCTTTGCACACAGCTAGGAGCCTTCCCAAAATACTCTATACTGCGCAGTTCCTACTCTACAGTACTAATACTAAGTACTGTTGGCATTACAGTCAGGGAATATACCAAATTTGGTATTTCCTAATTTATAAATGATAAGCGTTCTGGAATTTTGGAAGAAATTT